ATTTTATATTCAAGTCTTTGGGGGAGCCCTGTGTGACATCCATCCCTGTGGAATAAGGCGTGTTCCGAGTCAGTGGCCACTGTCCCTTGCCCTCACTGTCCTAGCGTACCACCCCCTTTGTGATGTCAGCACGCTTGTGTGCACATTGGCTCCCTTTCCCCAGCTGCGCCACGCTGAGCAGTGCTGACATCAGCAGATGGCAGCGCCTGCTGTAGTGTCTGTGCTTTGGAGCCCACGCCACAAGCTCGGCCTGGGGCGTAGATAGCCAGCACCGTTTGCCATCTCTCCCCGCCCCGCTTCTGAGTCCGCACACAGGGTTCTGGCTCCACCCATACCACCTGTGCTCACCCACGATCTCACCTGGGGCAGGGCTGGTTCTGAGGGCTCAGCAGGTTGTAGGCCCCTGGCACTGTCTGGGGTAGAGCCCCACACATGACCTGCGTGGTGGCGGAGGTCACAGGCTTCCATGCCCCCTGCAGATGCGCCCCTCACCCTGGCCGGCAGCCTTGTCCCAGGTCCCTCTGGGTGGCCACACTGACGGCCACCTCTTCCACTACAGGCCTGGAAGGCCCACCTGATGAGCCCCGCCGGCTGCACGATGAACCTGCGCAAGACCCACATCCTGCACAAGGGCCCAGTGCCAGCGCAGGGTGAGGCTTGTCCCTTGTGGGGCCCAGCACCACATCCCCGCACTCCACGCTCTGGCGCCCCACTGAGCAGGAGGCCAGTCACAAGGCCCGTGGCCGCTCCGCCCGAAGTCCTCCTAGCGTAAGGACGAGGCAGGCTCACAGTGCTCCATGACCCTCCCTACCAGATGGACTCCAAGGACTGGCAGACATGGAGCTAAATAGACCCTTAAGAGGCGCTACTACTTAATTGATAAACCACCCGGTAGATGGACACCTCATGAGGGAGCGCACCTTCACTTTCAGAGTGACTCCGTGTGGAAAAGCGGGGGCCCGTGTCACTGCGCAGGCCGCACCGGGCCTGCTCCGGGCTCACGAGGCCTGATGCCATCCTAGTCCAGCCCCTCAGCAGTGAGGGGACCGAGGCCTATGGCTCCTTGTCCCCGAGTTCCTTCTGCCTTACGCAAGGCTTCCCTCTGAGCCTCTGTCCATTCTCCCGTTCTCCTGCTGCCCTGCAGCCATCAGGGCCCGCTCCTTGCAGTGGTCACCTGTGGACTGTCACCAGTGTCCACTATGCAGACCCACCAGGCTGGGAGACAGCCATAGCCCCAGACCCCTTCAGCTCTGTCTGTGCCTCCCAGCCATTCGCCCTGTCCCAGTGAGGTCTGCGTCCCTGCTCTAACACAGTCCCTGTGCCCCGTGTGGCTGTCTTCTCTATAGGTAAAGGCCCCACCGCAGCCAGGTCAAGTTTGTCTGTGGCCAAGATCGGAAGTAAGATCCCCACCCCCAAAGGAGGCCTGAGTAAGAGCTCTCGCAGGACGCACACCCAGCGGTGACAGGCCCTCTGCCTCCTGTGTCTTCATTTCCTGATTCTAAATGCATCTGAAACTCTCTTGCAAAGAGTCCTGTGCTCTGTCCCTCGGCTCGTTGCGTCTGCTTTCACGTAAACGGTGTAGATTTGACCAAAGAACCCACCCAGAGCTAGGGCCTGGCCACATGGTGGCTGAGCATGGGCAGGAGGGCCCGAGAGCCGGGGCCACAGCGGCCAGCACCACTCCCTTTCCTGCCCTCGGCCCAGGCTCAGCCCTGGTGACCCCAGGCCGATGGCGCTGTGCCCACTGTGCCTTGACTTCCACAGCCTGTCTGCTAGGCCTCCGGGCAGTACACGTGCTTACAGGAAGCAGGGCTACGTCTGGAGGATTTGTGTTCTCACCCAAACAAGAAATCAAGGTAGAAAAGGAAGCTAGAAGGCGCCATCCTGAGAACGGTCCCCAGAACGCGGCACCCCGTGCCGAGCACTGTCCCTGTGACTCCGCCTGGAACATGTTCTGCTCTGAGGGCTCACCACGCCTCGGTTCAGGGGTTCAAATCCTCCACGCGGATTAAGTCCTGGAAAGTCAGGTTTCCTTGACATCTCTGATGGCCCTGCAGTCATCCAGCGTTTGAAACCATTTGGGTTGTGACATGGAACGCCTCCCACACACACACCCACCCTGACTGGCGCCTCTGCAAGCCCGACCTTCCCACCAGCCCTGCTGTACCCTGTCCCTTCTCCTCCACCATGCCTGGCCCCTTCCCAAGCGGTGTGTGGCCCGTCAGGAAGCAGCCATCAGCAGCTCAGACCACCCCCCCCTCCCTCAAGAACTCCATCCCACGCCACAGGTCACCGCTCCCTCCCAGGAAGTTTGGTTAGACAGACGTGACTGACATCTGCCTGGAAACCCAGCACCCCGTCTACCACTCCGCTTGCTTCCCGAGGCTGCTTGGGTAGGCTTTTGAAAAGCCATTTGCAAACGTTGGGGATCAAGGAACTTAGTGTTATAGTGTGTAAGTATTTTTTAACTCCCAACCATGTAGTAAAAACTAAAAAATGCTAGGTACTCGAGTGATGTCCCTGGGTACGTCAGCGAGCCTGGACAAGCTGTCCAAGACCCGCTGGGCACACAAGCCAGCGAGGTACCCACACCGCCGTGTTTACAAATGCTATAGTTCCAGACATGTCCACTGTTACTTTCTAATCCGTTTTCAGTAAAATACCTCTTTAAATAAAACAATAATGAAAAAGCTAACCAAGGAATTATTCTTTTCTCTGATGGAGAAAGACAGACATGTAATGTTCTTCATCTGCTCTAACTTTAAGACAGTATTTTTCCGGATTCTTCAGTTAGCTGGTCTTTGCTGGGACTGTGGGAATAGCCCGCTGTGTGTGGTGCGTGTGCCCCACACCGGGAGCACGGACAAGACAGGAAACTGGAGTACTAACACCCATCGGCCATGTATAAATAAATACATAAATCTGGACACTAATAATTGAATTTTCATGTATGCATATGTTGTGAATATTTAATATTTATTGTTATTTCATAACGATATTAAGTAACTAATTTAAATATATACATTTGACATGAGAACACAAATGTAAATACTTTTAATGAAAATTTGCAACTTTTTAATGTTTTAACATCCTTTTCTATTTATCTTTATTTCAGGTACCAGAATTATAAGTTATATATTTTTATTGTTACTGTTTTAGGGCTTAAGCATTGAATTCATCTCAAGTATATTAATATAATAAAAAGATCACTAAACGCTTTGGCACTTTTATTTGAAGATTACGAGACAACAATTTGTCAATGACTGTGACTTCAGTGGACATGAATGGAAAGTGGCTGGGCCTTGAGCCTTTAAGAGGGTGGACTAGTGGCCAGGAAGAAACTGTCAGTGTTAAACTGTCCTGACATAGCTGGCTCCCTGAGGTCAGCCATGGAAATGAGCTGGTGACATAGCCCTGAGGTCAGTCATGAAAATGAGCTGGTGCTGAAGAACAGGGTAGGTCAGAGCAAGCTGCTGGCAAACTTCCTGGTGTCAGAGTTCTCTTAAGTGACTATGGAGGAGGATGTCTCTCGGAAGGCTGTCAGTAAAGGCAGCTGTCAGAGGTGCTACAGCTGTATGCCATCTAGGCACGCAGAGTGCTGTTGATGGTTTTATACTTGCTCGTTTTATGAAGTCCTAGTATACACACCAATGCAGACTAGCTTAAAACTGGATGTCACAGCATTTAAACAGTATTATTCAGGTGTGTGTCCAGCAATGGTGCACATGTGGAGGGCAGGACAGGACCCACTTGGTGATGGACTGTGCCAGTGCACCCAAAAGAGGGCCCCTCAGGAGCTCAATCAGAGTGGCCTGCAGTCTGCGTACAAGCCCCCTCAACTGGCCCACTGGGGGCAAGCTTGTGCCATTGCTGTCAAAGACAGAAGCAGCTGGGAAACGCTCCTGGCAACAAGGCCAGCAGCCAGACCGGACTGGGGCACTATCTATGGCCCAGCCCCTCCCTGAAGGTGGACAGCAGAGGGCACAGAAGCCCGGGGAAAGCGGGCTTCCAGCCCTGCCTCTCCCTTTCCCAGGCATCCTGAGGAAAGCAGTCTGCGGCAGCTCAAGCCCAGAGCCAGCTCACCATGGGCTGAAACCTCTTGAAATGGGACAAGAATAAACACTTCCTTTTTCAGCCTCTTTGTCTTGACGTGTGGCCGACTGAGAGGGTGGGGTTCTAGCTCCGTTGGAAGCACTGATTAGCACAGACCAGGCACTGAAAGTGACCCAGCTCTTCCTTAAGGTATATGGCCAAGAGACAAGCAAACATTAAAGAGCTGGGCCTGGTGTGGCATTCCTGTAATCCCAGCAGTCGGGAGGCTGAGGCTGGAGGATCCGGAGTTAGGGGCCAGCCTGGGCTCCATACTGAGACCCTGCCCTTAGGCAGGCGGAGGGAGGCTGTTAATGCAGTTCTTCGAGCTGAGCATCCTCTTGTGTTTCCTTGAAATAAGCTAAGCGGTTGGCCGCAGCTCTGAGCACCCTTCCCCGGGCGGGCGCTCGCCACTGCGATGAACTGGAGGTAAGTCTCAGGGGCTTTGCTGCCCGGGCTGGCTTCGAACCGCGATCCTCAGGTCTCGGCCTCCCGAGGAGCCGGGATGCCAGGCGTGGGCACGGCCGGATCACCGCCCGGACGGCCGGGCTCCGCCCCACCCGCGCTCCCGCGCCGGGGCGGCGGCGGCGGGCCCGGGGTGGGCTGTGGGGTGACGGAAGGCGGCCCGGGGCCGCCCGGCCGGGCCCCGGACGGGGAGGCCGCGACACCGCAGGGCCGGGCGACCCGCGGAAGGAAGCTCAGCCGGACGCGCCCCGCCCACCCCGCGCCCGCCGCCGCCGCCGCCGCCGCCGCCGTCCCACAGGCCCCCGCGCGCGCCCCTCTGGGCCGCTCTTCTCGACGGTGCGCGCAGCGGCGCTCTGGCGTCCGAGCCCGCTCTCGGTGGCGTCCCATCCGTACAGCCGGAAGTGCCGCGCGCGCCGGAAGCCGGGGCGGGGGCGAGGGCGGCGGCGGCGGCGGGATGGCGGCCGCCGCAGCGCCCGACGCCTGGCCGGAGCTGGAGCTGGCGGAGCGCGAGCGGCGGCGCGAGCTGCTGCTGAGCGGGCCGGGGCTGGAGGAGCGCGTGCGGGCGGCGGGCGGGCGGCTGCCGCCCCGGCTGTTCACGCTGCCGCTGCTGCACTACCTGGAGGTGAGCGGCTGCGGCAGCCTGCGCGCGCCGGGGCCCGGCCTGGCCCAGGGCCTGCCGCGCCTGCACAGCCTCGTGCTGCGGGGCAACGCGCTGGGCCCCGGCCTGCGCCCGGCGCTCGGCCCGCTGCCCGCGCTGCGCGTGCTCGACCTGTCGGGCAACGCCCTGGAGGCGCTGCCGCCGGGCGAGGGCCTGGGCCCCGCCGAGCCGCCCGGCCTCCCGCAGCTGCAGAGCCTCAACCTCAGCGGCAACCGGCTGCGCGAGCTGCCCGCCGACCTGGCCCGCTGCGCCCCGCGCCTGCAGAGCCTCAACCTCACCGGCAACCGCCTGGACGCCTTCCCCGCCGAGCTCTTCCGGCCCGGCGCGCTGCCCCTGCTCAGCGAGCTGGCGGCCGCCGACAACCGCCTGCGGGAGCTCAGCCCCGACGTGGCGCACCTGGCCTCGCTCAAGGTCAGCGGGGGGCGCGCGGCGGGGGAGGGGGGCGCGCGGTCACGGGGGGCGCGCGGCGGGGGAGGGGGGCGCGCGGTCACGGGGGCCCGCGGCGGGGGGAGGGGGCGCGCGGTCACGGGGGCGCGCGGCGGGGGAGTGGGCGCGCGGTCACGGGGGCCCGCGGCGGGGGAGGGGGCGCGCGGTCACGGGGGCCCGCGGCGGGGGGAGGGGGCGCGCGGTCACGGGGGCCCGCGGCGGGGGAGGGGGCGCGCGGTCACGGGGGGCGCGCGGTCACGGGGCGCGCGGCGGGGGAGGGGGCGTGCGGTCACGGGGGCGCGCGGTCACGGGGGCCCGCGGCGGGGGAGGGGGGCGCGCGGTCACGGGGGCCCGCGGCGGGGGGAGGGGGCGCGCGGTCACGGGGGCCCGCGGCGGGGGAGGGGGGCGCGCGGTCACGGGGGCGCGCGGCGGGGGAGGGGGCGCGCGGTCACGGGGGCGCGCGCGGCGGGGGGAGGGGGCGCGCGGTCACGGGGGGCGCGCGGTCACGGGGGCGCGCGGTCACGGGGCGCGCGGCGGGGGAGGGGGGCGTGCGGTCACGGGGGCGCGCGGTCACGGGGGCCCGCGGCGGGGGAGGGGGCGCGCGGTCACGGGGGCCCGCGGCGGGGGGAGGGGGCGCGCGGTCACGGGGGCCCGCGGCGGTCACGGGGGCGCGCGGTCACGGGGGCGCGCCGCGCTCCGGGCCGCCCCGGCCCTCGGGCCCGCTCCCAGTGCTCGTTAGGTGGCGGCGACGCGCGCGAGCCCGGACGCGGTCCTGGGGACGAGAGGTCCCACGAGGTGTTTCCTTCGCACCTGACGGCCCAGGCGTGCCCCGGAGCCGGCGGCAAAGCCTCGCGTGGGTGTGTGGTTCGCTTAGCGTGGGTTTCCCGGGCTCCAGCAGAATGCTCGGCCCCGCGGGTGGGACCTGCCTCCCGTCCGCTGTGCTCTCGGTGAGGTCTCCTCCTCTTCCACCCTTAGCAGGCAGGCCCGCCGTTCCCCCCCCCCCCCCCCCCCCCCCCCCCCCCCCCCCGCTGCTCCGCCCCGAGTTTACACAGGCTTTTTTTATTAAGACATAAATGGCTCAGTAACTGGATTTGCAATGACAGTTAACTCCTGGGGTAGTGCAACTCCTGTGGCAAATGTCTGTGTCTGTGTAAAGGTTTCTCTGCACTGTGCGAATGTGTGAGGGGGCGCGGAGATCAGAGTAGATGGAGAGGCTGTGGGCTGAGACTCCCTGAGTGAGGTCATCCTTTTACTGCCCCGGTGTGAGGCCCTCCCCTCACCCCCCACAGGCATATAACTATCCACCCTGCCTGCCCCTGTGTGGATGCTTTGGTCTGCCAGGACTCTGTTGAGCCTAGTGTGTGTCTTGACATGGCTTCTACGTCCTGTGAGTACGCCCTCAGCTTACATTGCTTTTCCCTGTCACTTGTCCTGCCCAGGCTCAGTTGGCTAGTTACGCTGCTCTTGCTGCAGTTTCTTGGCTGCTCACTGTGGCATCCTGGTACTCTCCATCACTTCACCATGTGACAGTGTGCCATTTCTTAACACAAATGGAGAAGCTGCCAAGCCTTCAGGCCCAGACTTGTAGCATTTTCCCATGTCTACAGTTCAGTCAAATAAGCCTGCAAAGCCCAGGCTAGGGGTATAGAGGCAAGGACATAGACACCAGGAGATGTCTGGATTAGGGGCATGAGTCGCAGCAGAGGCCTTTGCCTGTCCACTGACTTCACAGAGGAAAGCGATTGCCTTGGCCTAGTTCTTAGACGCACTTCCCTGGGACTGCAACAGGAAGGCCTGGACCCTATTTGCCACTAAGCAGCGTGGGACAAGGAGGCTGAGGAGCTGGCCACCCTCTTCTGTCCTCTGCCTGCTAGTGTACTTGGCTTCATTGCCCTGTCTTGTACCTGCTTTGTCTGGCTTCCCTCTGGGGGAGACCTGAGAGACACTGGACGCCTGCCATCTTGCAGGCTCTGGTGCAGTGCCACCAGGGCTGTAGTGGACAAAGGCTGGGATGTCAGGTTGCTCCTGCCGCACCACCCAGGCCCATGGTGCTGTCCTGCTGGGTCTGCTAGGAGGAGTGGCATAGTACCTCAGCTAGTTAACAGAGACGTCTCTGGGGGCCCAGGAATGGCCTCGTTTGCAGCTCAGACACATAACCAAGATGAATAAACCCTTCCCATATACCCCACGTTTCTCAGCTCCTGGGAGGTGGCCAGGCATACTCAAGACCTGGAGAGTCCCTGTTCCTTGGCAGCATTTGACAGGGTGTGGTCTGAAGAAATGGCACTGGGGTACTCCTGCACATACCTGTCCCTGACACAGTCACGCCACTGGGACCCTTCTGCACACATCTCATGTCCACACGGAAAACTTGTGTCTGGGACCCGAGGGGCCTGTGATGACACTTCCTGTTGTCAGTGGTGCTCAGAACCCAGCCAGGCATCAGGAGGCTGCAGCCCAGCCTCACAGCCACTCTGGCACTGTCTGGAGGCACAGACTCTGTGCATGAGGCCAGAGGCTGCTGCTTCCCACCGGCGCTGGTCCTTCTCTGTGAAGCCTGAGGCTTCTTTCCATTTCCATGACCTTGCTTCCTTGTGGGTGCCCAGGGTGGGGGTAGGAGGAGTACTTGGGGTGAAAAGTCTGTACGCCCCAGAGCTGTGTCTTTGCACTGCAGGATACCACTCTGTGTGCTTCTCTCTGCCTCATTCTCTTTTCTGGCGCACCCTTTCTCCCTCTCTGTCTTAGGAGTTCCTATGGGACTTCTAGCAAATCCTAGACAAATCTTCCCTCATCCAAATTTTCTTTAGCATGAGTTTTTGCCTTAATAGAGCTCTCAAACCAGAGCCCCTTTGGACCGTGTACTGACCTCAAGCACTGTACCCAGGCCCAAAGCCTCTGGACTGGTGGCCTGGGAGGCCACGCTCCGCAGCAGTTGGCCCAGCTTGCTCTAGTGCCGAGCTCTGGAACTGGCTCAGAACCGGTGTTTGGTTCCCATGCTGCTGGCTAGGGGTACTGTCAGCCTAGACTCTGCTTCTGATAAAAGAAGCTGGCAGGCATGCTCTCAGTGAATGGCAGGGCCACCAACCAGTCAGCCTACACCCCCAGATCTGTGTGCAATGCAAAGCATCTGGAGAGGAATAATAGGTTCAGTATCCCTCATCCAAAAACCTTGAGCACTGACACGACACCTAAGTGGAAAATTCCACATCTGACTTTATGTACTGGGTGGTAGTCAGACGTGGGTCACTGCAGTCCCTGTGTAAAACACTTCTGTGTACGTCCAGTGACATCATTGTGCACTTGGGTTCCCTCATTGATGCATCCCGACTCTGAAATGCTGGCTTGGGACAAAGGCCGCCCACCTGCAGCAACAGTTCTATCGGAAGTCTGATCCCCACGTCCAGCTGCAGTGGTGCTCGCGCGAGCCTCCCCCCAGGGGCGCCCGAGCCTCCCCCCAGGGGCGCCCGGGTGCTGAGGCCTGCTGACGGCTGCTGGGTCAGGCTTTCCTTTCTGGAGGAGCACTTGTTTGCCTGGGTTTCTACTCTGCCTTTGGAAGCTTATCCAAAGCCCCTTCCCTGTGCCCAGCTGTCACACACACACACACACACACACACGGCTGTCACACGCACACACACACACACATACACACACACGGGTCTGGCCGCCTCAGCCCCAGAGCAACCAGTCATTCCCCCCCTCTCCCCAGTGCCAAATGGAGCTGGTATTCGGCCACATCGCCACACAGAGAGGTGTGTGCTTCCAGGCACCTGTGTGTCACAGAGCTCAGGTGTGTCTGGAGCCACACCTCCCTCTGGACTCCCAGAGACCCCAAATGTTTAGTCCTGGCATCAGCAAGTGAAGAGCAAGGCCAGCCAGAGCCCCCTCCATCCCCAGAGGAAATAAGAAGCAAAGGTTCCAAGGCTGCCAGCCAGTCACACTGGGCAAGATACCTGTCAGGAGCAAGAAGCACAAAGCAGGCAGTGGCCTCTTTCCCACAGCCGAGAGGGAAAGAGGGAGCTGTACACCCGCCGCACCGGACCTCCCCAGCCAGGCTCCAAGGAGGAGGCATCAAGAAGGACAAGGACAGTGTTAGCTGAGCAGTGTGGTCTGCCAGCCCACAGTGGGAGCTATGGAAGACTCCTCCCACTCGTGGGCTCCAAGGGTGCGTGGGCACAGACAGTGAGCGCAGTGCCTCGCCCCCAACTGTGTAGAAGGCACAAGCAGACAGGCCACATCCTGGCAGCTTCGAGTCAGAACATGGGCAGAGTCTGTCTGGAGGCTTTGCTCCATTCTCTCTCTCTCTGCTCAGCACCACCTGGGAACCCGTTTCTGATGGGAGAAATGCTGGTTTGCTCCTCACCTTGCTATCTGCTCTCTAGCTTGGTGGCTGACCAAAAGAGATACAGGATTCAAGAGAGATGCTTGAGTCAGAGAAAAGGTTTTCCGGAGGTGACTGTCCCTGCAGACCGCTCCTTCCTGTTGGGGACTCCTTGCAGGCAGAGATGGTGTGTTTAGCTGGGCACAGTGGTGCATAGCTATAGTCCCAGTTACTCAGGCATACTCAGAGAGATCACAAGTTCAAGGCTAGATCCTATCTCAAAAACAAAAAAGCAAACGTTGGGGAAGGACAGCTGAGGGTAGTAGAGCACCTGTCTAGCACCAGCCAGGCCCTGAGTTCAGGCCCCAGAATCACAAAGATGCAAAAAGGTGTGAAGCGTCTGGCGTCCAGGTGGATCGCTGCGTGTGGCTGCAGCTTCAGGTGTCTCAGTAGAGGAGTCCCCCCCACCCCCGCGTCTGGGTCCCTTGACGTGTACATGTTCTCCGTTCTCTTCCCAGATGCTGGACCTGTCTAACAACCAGCTGAGTGAGATCCCCGCCGAGCTGGCCGACTGCCCCAAACTCAAGGAGATCAACTTCCAAGGGAACAAGCTCCGAGACAAGCGCCTGGAGAAGATGCTCAGCAGCTGCCAGACCAGGTCCATCCTGGAGTACCTGCGTGCCGGGGGCCGTGGCGGCTGCCGGAGCCGGGGCAAGGCGGACGGCTCCGAGAGGGAAGACAGCCGCAAGAAGCGGAGGGAGCGGAAGCAGAGGCGGGAGAGTGGCGAGGGGGAGGAGGAGGCAGCCGACATGGCCAAACTGCTGCTCCGGGTCCTGCACGTCTCTGAGAACCCCACGCCCCTGACCGTCAGAGTGAGCCCTGAGGTTCGGGATGTCCGGCCGTACTTCGTGGGCGCTGTAGTGAGAGGCATGAACCTGGAGCCCGGAAATGCACTCAAGCGCTTCCTCGCCGCTCAGGTGTGGGCACAGGCAGCAGCCTGGGGCTGGGAGGGGCCAGGTCATTGGGGCGCGTCCTGGAGCCATGGTGAGGAGTGGTGCAGCCCTGGATCTCAGCTGAGAGGCTGCTGTGCCTCAGTTCTCCTCTCCAGTCCACGGGACGGGTCAGGTGCTCATGTTCTTTGGTGTCCACAGCACCCTCTGCTCAGCCCTGGGCTGAGCGTCTGGGCTCCTCACCTCTGCCCTTGCTCTTTGACACTCCGCTTCTGCATTTTACCCTACCCTCTGAAAGTGGCCTTACCACCACCAAAAATGCATGCCAGCTACCTCAGTTCTGGGCTCTGGGCAGGTTTTCTGATTATGCAGTAAATGGCACATTTTGTTCTACACAAGGTGGTGGTGAATCATCCCCTTGTAGCAGTGACGCGGCTGGTAGGTTTTGCTCATCCCAAGTGTTGTCTGTCTGGGATGCCAGGTCCTTGAGACAGAAAGCACAGCTTTGCCTGTGAGCCCAGCCGCGCCAGGCTCCCTCCCTCCTGCCCAAGGCAGCCGAGTTGCTGCCCTAGAACCCTGCGCACTCTTCCTGCCCTCTGTGGTTCGGGGAGGAAGCCAGCAGCAGAAGAGCTACTGGGGAACTCTTCTGAAGTTGTGCTTGTTTTGCTGTCACACATGTTATTTCAGGATGGGTTCTTGGAAATCTTAAACCCTGAGTTCTAGAATTAAAGAACCAGCACTGCTGTGGCCAGATTAGAATGGTGCTGGCAGCCCTTGGTCAGGAGGCAGGTCTGAGCGGGGTCCGCAGGCTGAGAACCTCACGTCGCACCTCACTGTGCCCTTCCTCCTCTCCTGCCTGTGTCGTAGACTAAGCTCCATGAGGACCTCTGTGAGAAGAGGACAGCAGCCACCATCGCCACCCACGACCTGCCCGCCGTGCGGGGACCCCTGCTCTATGCAGCTCGGCCACCTCAGGACCTGAAGGTGCCTGCCGCCCCCCTAGCCCTCAGCTCTACTGCTTTTCCAAAGATGCTTATGGTTGAGCCCAAACCTCCTGGTGTGCTTCTAGGTAGTACTCGTACAAGGTGAAATGAGACACTGGTCTGAAGTCGAGCTCTCTAGAAGCGGTTTCTTTCATGTGCTCATTAACTTGTATGTTTGTACCAGTCCTAGATTGAACTCAGGACCTGGGCATTGTCCCTGAGCTTCTTTTTGCTCAAGGGTAACATTCTACCACTTGAGCCACAGAGCCACTTCTAGCTTTTAGGTGGTTTATTGGAGATAAGAGTCTCACAGACTTTCCTGCTCACGCTGGCTTTGAACCGCAGTCCTCAGATCTCAGCCTCCTAAAGAGCTAGGAATACAGGTGTGAGCCACTGGCATCCAACTGCTCATTAAGTTTTACCTGAAAATTTTATTTAATGTTCCCATTGTAAAACATCTGCCTTCAGGTTGGCTTTGGGTTAGCTACTGTTGCAGGAGTCCTTCAGATGCTAGCTGTCGGACCTGGCTAGCTCTGCCCGCTGAGCCCTGTAGGCCCTCAGAAACACAGCTGTGCGCTGGCTGTACTTGAGGTAGAGCTGTCTCTGAGAATATTTGAAGTTAGAGGCACTTCTCCAAAGGCTCCCACGGGAGAGCGCTCCATCCTCAGCCTCCTGGCTTTCCGTTCTAGAGACTTGCTGGCTCTGTCTAGAGGTCAGTCGTAGAAGCACGGGAGCTAGGGGGTCATTAATGCACAGGCAGTAAACTTCTGGGGTTGTAGGGTCAGCAAGTGTGTGGATTTTTACCCTGACAGATCATCCCCTTGGGGCGGAAGGAAGTCAAGGCCAAGGAGCTGGTGCGACAGCTGCAACTTGAAGCAGATGAGCAGAGGAAGCAGAGGAAGAGGCAGACGGTGTCAGGACTGCACAGGTGGGTTGGCTGGCCCTGCTGGCTCACCCCTACTGAGCCCCTCCCACTCCTCAGCAAGCCCTCCACGCTGCCAGGTCTGCAAGGGAGGGCAGGACAGACCTCCCCAAATTCCCTGCAAAAGGCAGACAGATGATAGCCTGCTCTCTCCAGGGGCTTGGGCAGGCAAAAGCCTTCCCCAGGGAGACTGTGGTACCAGGGTGGAGGTCCCACCTACCTCTCGGGCAGGATGGCCCTGTGGACAGCAGTGGAATGGCTCAGGCACCACCAGGCATGTCAGCAAAGATGGTAGCATAATGAGTCTGAGCCCTGACATGGTGCTAGGAGCTGCTCCGTTTGCTCAGGCTGGCGGGTGGGTGTGCCCTAACTGCCTGCGATCTGTCCTGTCCCAGGTATCTGCACTTACTGGATGGGAAGGAAAATTACCCTTGTCTTGTGGATGCAGATGGAGACGTGATTTCTTTCCCACCCATAACGAACAGTGAGAAGACGAAGGTAGGGAGACGAGGTGGATGTGGCTTCCCTGTGTTGCAGTGTAAAGCCCTCTCTTGGGGGGCTTGGCCGTCCCTGATGCTGCCCCACAGCGGGCATTCTGGTGGGGCTGGGCTTGTCCCCGGCCTTGTTGGAAGGTCCTGGTCTCGCTTTGTTTGGGTTTGTGTTGTGGTTACCAATGTCTGATTTTATTGACTGATCTTTTCTGAAATCTAACGTCTTTAAGATTAAGAAAACGACAAATGATTTGTTTTTGGAAGTCACAAGTGCCACCAGTCTGCAGATCTGCAAAGACATCATGGACGCCCTGGTGCTGGTGAGTAACCATAGCTGCCTGGCTCCCTGTATGGGTAAGTAGCCAGTCCTCTTCCTTGCTTAAAAAGGAATTTTCCTTTGCAGAAAATGGCAGAACTAAACAAATACACATTAGAAAACAAAGAGGAAGGATCACTCTCAGATACAGAAGCTGACACACTTTCTGAACAACCTTCGGATTCCCAAAAGAACCCAAACTCCGGGAAGGATGGACAGTGCCCCCTGGTGGTGGAGCAGGTCCGAGTGGTAGACCTGGAAGGGACCCTGAAGGTGGTGTACCCGTCCAAGGCTGACCTGACCGCCACCCCTCCCCACGTGACTGTGCTTCGCTGACACCCGCCGAGGCACTGGTGCCCCCGGCTGGCACGCATGGGAGCCAGTGGCGGCGATCTTGCAGAGGCTTGTGTGTGGCGATAAGTCATCGGTACCTTTTCACCTGGCTGTTTTTAAGGTGTCTGTATTTGTTCGGCTTTTGGGTGGTTGGTGGGGTCAAGTGACATTGTCACTAACCCAATCTTACTGTTTTCTGTGGAATTTCCCAAATACCAGGATTAACTGTTCAAAATGTTCTGATCATGTAGCCTCAGCAAGTAACTCCTTACAGGAAAGACAAACACTGAATGTGGTGTGAATACGCTGTGTGTGACCAGAGAGGGCAGAGGACGTGGATCTGTAGAACCGTGGTGATGCGTCTGACGTGCACCTCTCACCTTTCCCAGCTTGCGCCATCTCACCACGTTTTTAATGTGGTCTTAGAAGTGGCAGGGTTATCCTCTTGGCTTGTGGCTGTCAGTACTCAAGGGGCAGGCGCTGTACTATACTAGGCCTTTCAGAAAACAGCCCGGGTTTGCAGGGAGAGGCAGGACCTGCCCCACGTGACTGTACCAGGGGTCGAGCTGGCTGGTCGTGGCTCACATATTGGCCCTGCAGGTGCCCCTGCCCTGCTTCTGTGAGTGGACAGAAAGACTCTGTGTACAAATTGCCAGGGCTGACTGGGGGAGGTAGCAGGCTTTCTAACCAAAAATTGCCATGTATGTGTGTCCAGCACCAGCCACTCCCTCCCTGGAGTTGGACTGCTTGGTCCTGAGGACCTGCCCACTGCAGAGCGCCCTCCCAACCGCATGCCTTACCACCAGTCTGCAGACTTGTAATGGATAGCACTGTCTTAGCTTTGGTGGTCTTTGGCCGGAGTGGACAGTTTTCTATCTTGTATAGAGGACATGATTGAGTTTGTGCAAGTGTCCCAGTAGCCCACAGGGACTCAAGGGTCCTAACCAAGCCAGGTGGCTTTCCAAAGCTGGAGACGTGGGCCAGCTGCCCTGTCCCCCAGCCTGGCCCTAGGTTCTGCCAGGCCTTCCTGGCGGCTAAGAACGCTGCGGCTGAGCACTGCTGCCTGGCGGGGGCCTCCGTGGCTGTGCCTGGCGACTGTTTATCCTCCCCAGGAACTCGCAGACGCGGTGTGCAAGGGTGGTTCTCACCTCATGCTGTTGACCCTCACGCCCCTGGTGCTGCGCTTGGCAGTGTCTGCTGGGAGGCCCAAGGTGCTCTCTCCAGCTGGGACCCTACTCCTGCTCCAGTGGGAGCCCAGGCGGGCCCTTTGGGGAGCTGCGGCTGCTGTGGCTCAGCCCTTGCAGGAAGTGCGCTGCACCTGGGCTCACAAGGACGGGGCACAGGCACGGCATCGGGGTCACCACACCGCCCGGATGAACCAGCGCCTGTTGTGCTCTTTTCCGGGGCAGCCTGGATTCTGGGAAGGTTTGAACTTCCAGCAGAAAGCTCCCGCGATATTCTTTCTGCCCACCTGACACTCTTAATAAAAAACATTTGACAGAAAATATCTCCGCTTCACCCAGTGATCTTCCCCACTTACACTCCCAGAGGATTTGTGGGAGAGTTGCAAAAATCTCCTAGGTCTGCCTGTGGCTCTACATGGGGAAACTAAGGGCCTGGGCCTCGTGTGATCTTTGTTGGCTGCCCCTACCATCTTTGCCTAGATCAGGAACCCACCTGGGCCTCCTCCATCCATGACTCTGACTGGCCTAGTGCGCTGTCCTGCTCCCAAGTCTTCAGTGGGAAGACAGCTGGGTAGCCATGATCTATCCATGATCTCCCAGCCTTCTGGAGCCCAGGGGCCAAGTGACAGAATGGGGCTGAGGCCTGAGCAGAACTGGCTCCAGTGGAGGCTGTGTGCAGCTGGAGTGCCTGCCCATTGTGCCGGGCGACTCGGGATGGGGGCTCGGGTGCTGGGTGCGGCAGGCTGGCAGACCCCAGCGGCAGCTGAAGTGCTGGACCAGCCGGAAGAGTCCATGCCGTGGCCTGTCCCTCCTCATCCCACCTTCCTGCTGCTTGTGACTGAGGTTTGGGCATCCCTGGGACACCTGGGGCAGAGTGCTGGGTCTTGGGTCCCCTAGAAGCTGAGCAACCATGCAGTACCCCCTGTTCCCAGCCTGAGGGCCAGTGCCTGTACTTCCCCCCAGCCCTAGGCCACGGCCATCCTACAAAAGCTACAGGGAGGGACTGGAGCTGAAGCCTAGGCTGTAATGACCAGCCACTGGGACAGTCCCTGTCAAGCCCTGCCACAGGCTCCTGCAGAAGGGCTACTGCATGGAGACCCAGCCCAGGAGCATCCCTCAGGGTCCCAGTCACAGCCTTTTGGGAATGGGAGGCCAGCTATGTAAGACCCCGTCCCCATTCTCCTCCCCCCGCCCTCTCTCCCCAGACGGGATGGAGAAGGTTCTATCCACAGGACCAAGCACAACCTGAGTTGTCAGCACCTGGACCTGCCACCTGGCCTCCTTCCTGTGGCCCTGAGGACAGCGGCTGCCCATGCCCACTTCCCTCAGCCCCTAAGTGAAGATCATTTTGCAATAGACCAGGGCAACTGTGTAGCCCAGAGTCCCCAAGGCAACCAGCTGCAGCAGCCCGAGTGATCACAGCTTGTCCACACACGGCCACGGGGGGACACAGGCCCAGCACATCCTGACCCTCAGCTTGTCCGTGTCCCTGGAGAGGGTCCAGACAGGAAGGGGCACATTCCAGGGCACGGAGCCAAACAGGAAGGGCTGCGAGGAGGACAGGCCTGGCCCTGAGTCACGCCTCACCAGGCAGCCAGGGCAGCACAGCCCGGTGCGCATTGTGTTCCTCAACAGTCTCTTGATCCCTCGTGCGCACACAGGTGCCCTGGGGCACCTCGGGCCTGCCTGCAGTGGTTGAGAGGCCAGGTTGGGGCCTCCTGCGGACCACCCTTGTGAAGTGGGTGGTCAGGGAGTGCCTCGTCCCGTTTGTTGAGGAAGACTTGGTGGGAGAAGGTGGCCCTCCGCTCCGCACAGGAATGGGAGGGTGGGCAGGATTGGGGATCCGTGTCAGAGCCCACCCTGCCAGAAAAGGGCTGCCAGGAAGGTGGGCTTGGGCTGTCTGCACTAAGCCCCCTGATCTCTGCCTGGCCTAGATGGCCACAGGCTTGTGGGGACCCGGATCCCCCACCACCAGTGCCCCGAGTGGCCAGCTGTACCCAAGCTGTGTCTCATGTCCTGTGAAGGACTTCCGTGTGTGAGGGTGTGTGGCTTGCATATCTGCGTGCCTACAGGCTCTTGTGTGGGTCTGGGGCAACCATACACACCACATGTGGCAGGCCAGGTGCCAACACCTGTGTGCAGTGTGCTCTCTGCTCCAGGGACCACATATACTTGTCCATGGAGGGGATCCAAACATGCCAAGGGGTCCCCTGTCCCCGTGCCCCAGCGTGTGGCCAGCCTCGAGCGTGTGACTTAGAATTTATTTGCACTTGTGCACATAGTAACCGGTGACATAGCCCAGGATGAAGATGACCCAGAAAAGGGCAATTCCGCCGAGCACTTTCATGGCGATCCCCAGCTTGCCTGTGCAGAGCTTCTGGAAGATCCTAGAGAAGCAGTGGGAGGTGAGGCCTGGCCAAGACACAGGCAAGGCTCCTGAATGTGCTGTGGGACGGGCTGGGGGGGGAGGGGGGGAGCAGACCCAGGCCCTACGGGAGGCCGCCAGCCGTCAGGGGAGGCCCTGCTAGAGTCGGAAGCCAAGGGAAGGCCGAGGCTGGGGCGATGGGCTGCCAGCACCAGGGCTGCACCTGGGGTGGGCTGGCACAGGGAGCTAGGCCCCGGGGTGGGCAGGGCTGTGTCTGCGGAGCAGCCCGTGGGGCCTCACCTCCTGCAGGACGACTCCTCCGTGCTGGAGACAGCAGCCATGCTGACCTCGTCCCGACTGCTGTCATCCCACCTGCTGTAGTGGACGCCGCTCTCCTGGGGCTGCATGCCGCCCCTGGGGGGAAGGAGGTGGACTCAGCACAGCCCCACACCGGCCCGTAGGGGCTGCCTGGGCGCGAGAGGGGAGGGTTGGACTGTGCTCACCTGACTCACCAGGGTGGTAAGTAACTAGCTCAGGTCACGTGGGACTCAGAGGCGCAGCCCTGGCTTCAGGAGTGGGAGCAGCCCCTGGGGCCTCCTCCAGCTGGACTTACCAGGACAAGCTGGCACAACTCTGACACTAGGACCCAGTGGCCAAGCCTAGCTGCTGCGGCCGGTAACTCTTCTCAGCCCTGCAGAAAAGAGCAGGGCTGCTCCAGAGGCTGGCAAGGGAAGGGATGAGCAGTAGGCAGTGACTGGTACGGCCAGTGCAGCCCTCCAGGGCGGAGGCCTGCAGCTGTCCTCAGCCCCCCCATGCGGTCTCACCCGGTCTGCACAGGGCCCATGCCAGGCCCCTGGGGGGCCCATGCAGGCCAGCAGACCACACAGCCCAGGGCCAGACAGACCCACTGTGAGGCCAGGTCCTGCTCCGACTCACAGCGCTGGGACTCAGCTCAGGTATCCCAAGAGCAGAGGGAGGGCTGGGTCAGAGCCTCTGAAATGAGGGTCAGAGTCACATTAGAGCCACCACATGTCGCCTGCCGCTGGCTGGGGGTGGGGGGAGTGGGGGCCTCTTGACCTTTAACCTCAGACCTCTGTTAAGACCTCCTGTTTACCCAGAGTGTGGGTGAGGTACTGGAAGGCCACGGTCACCTAAGCCGTGGGATGGCACTCAGTGTCCTTTTATGGTGTCTGGCCCTGCAGGGGCTGCCTACACAAGCGGCCCCTCGCGCCTGGAAACGGAGCTGCCCTGTCCTTCCGGGAAATGCTGCACACTCAGGCCTGAATGCACAGCAGGCCCCTGCTCCATGAGAAAGCAGCCCTGAAACTCAGGACTTCCCATCATGCATCTGTGTCTGCCCTTGCCCTGATGTCAGACTGATGTGGGGGGTGGGGGGGTGGAGGAAACTGTAAGAAGCCCAGCCACCGGTGGGAGCTGGTGGCTGATGCCACCTGGAGTTCCTGGAGTGTGGACCCTGCCACCTGGGCGTGCCGGGCAGCAGGGTTCCTGGAGAGTGTGATCTATCGCAGGCAGCTCACCCATCCCTGCTGGTGGGCAAAATCTCCAATCTTGCCTCTGGCAGCAATGAGCCGGCACCACATGACAGCTACTACTGGGCTAAGATAAGCGTAACACCTTTGGTCTCCTTTCCCAAATCAGTAGGTGCGTGCCAAGTGCTGGGTGCACGGGAAAGATGGTGCTTTCATGAAGCAGCCACTGATGGGAATCGCCTTGCTCTCAAAACTCCACGCTCCTATAGCCCATGGACCCCCACCCACTGGGGGCTAGTGTTTGGAAAAACATCAGCCCTGGCCTTTTCTAAAAGTGCACATTGCCTCTGGAAAGACTGTCTGCAGTAGCTGCCCAATTTCACAACTAATTACTTCCTCATTTTGCTATGCTTAGACTCTGGGCCCCCTCCCTCTGCACCCCTGTATCTCTGACTCTGCTTTGTGTGCTTGGTGTCCCTCTGCAGTGATTATTAAAGTCTAGTCTGATCTGTTGAGCAGTCTCCTTTCTTTCATCCACTAGATCTTCCCTAACAGCCACCCCTTTCTTTTCCTTCTCCTGGCTGGGAAGGCAGCAGCCTCCCTGCAGCCCAGGTTTACATGAGCAACTCGGCCTGCACATAGTCCTGTCTCCAAATCCACAGCACCTGCTGCCTCCCTACAGGCTCCTGGATGTGTGGAGTGTGGCCCCCAATTGTTTCCAGCCTTGGATCCTGTTCTTTGCTGATGAAGGCAGAGAACACATGGCTCCCAGACTATCTGGTTGGACAAGGCCACCAGGAGTCAGTGAGGAACTCTGAGTCCGGCTCTCCAGGCCTTCCCTCACCCCAGGTCTGTGCAACAGCTACAGGCCCGGCCAGGACCCTAAGAGCCAGCTCTCACCCCCCTCTGGGGAGAATGTGAGCCCAGCATTGCTGCACAGCCACTCCCCATTAGATCCTCTGGAGACCCCGCACTTACAGATCAGATCTGGAAGCCGCAGCTCTGGGCCCCGGAAGGAGGTCAGAGTCTGGCCAGGGGCTCCCACCGCCTCTGAGCTGGCCGGGCCTCTGAGCTGGCCGGGCCGGGGCGCGATGTGCCAGAGGATGCCTCGGCCTTAAATAAGCAAAACGCAGGTGAAGGGAGGCGCTGTGGGCTGGCAGAGGGGAGGGGAACTGGCCAGAGGGTGCCCCTGGCTGCTGGAGGGGGTGGGCGGGCAGTTCCGGGCCTGCTGGACAGCCCTGCGCAGCCCGGGCAATCCTCCAGCGGGGGTTGGGAGGGGGCTCGGAGAGCTCTGGAGGGCCCCAACGAGGGGAGTCCAGCCCCACCTCCTCCCTGGGCCTCCCCGGAAGCCACAGCCTCCGTCCAGGGGTCTCACCTGCGCCCCCACCGGGCCGCTGCAGACGCTTCTCCAGTGCACTGGGGCGGGGGCGGGGCCTGCGTGGGGGCGGGGCCTGGGCGGAGCTAGGATCCTTGGACATCTCCAGGCACCGGGGCGGGGCGAGGGCGGGGCCTGGGCGGAGCTAGGCTGCGGTGGGAGGGGCCGTCCCGGCACACGGGCGGGGACGGGGGCCTGGGCGGAGCCAGGCCGCGGTGGGCGGGGCCTGCGGGGAAGAGTGGGCCGGGTCTGGGCTGGAGCGGGCGGGGCCGAGGCCCGGGCCCCAGACACCGGCTCCAGGCCGCCCGCCGCGGGTGCTCCCCATGCCCGCCGGGCCCGCTCAAGCGCTGCGGAGCCTCCTGGAGGCGCCGTCGGCTCAGAATCCGGGGTGAAGGGAGGTCCGGCTGGCGCTGGCCTGGCTGCCTCCTGGAGAACGAGGGCCCGGGCGGCCCGGCTGCCCGCGTCCGGCCCGGCGCGGGCTGCGGGCAGGGACCGGGGAGGACGGCGGACATTCCTTCCTCACACTCGGCCTTTGACCCCAAGCCCATGCAGTCCAAAGGGCCGGGAGCAGAGCCGGAGGAGGCCCCTCCCCCGCCCCTACTCCCCACCCCGTCACCCACCTCCCACCATCACCCACCCCCTCCCCACCCCGCCCACTCTCACCCCCCCACCCACCATCACCCACCCCCCACCCTACCCCGTCACCCACCTCCCACCATCTTCCCCCACCCCCTCCCCACCCCGCCCACTCTCACCCCCCCACCATCACCCACCCCCCACCCCCTCCCCATCACCCACCTCCCACCATCACCCACCCCCCACCCCACCCCGCCCACTCTCACCCCCATCCCACCCACCATCACCCACCCCCACCCCCTCCCCATCACCCACCTCCCACCATCACCCACCCCCAACCCCCTCCCCACCCCGCCCACTCTCACCCCCCATCCCACCCACCATCACCCACCTCCCACCATCACCCACCCCCCACCCCCTCCCCACCCCGCCCACTCTCACCCCCCATCCCACCCACCATCACCCACCCCCACCCTCTCCCCACCCCGCCCACTATCACCCCCCATCCCACCCGACCACCATCACTCACCCCCCACCCCCTCCCACTCTCACCCCCATCCCACCCACCATCACCCACCCCCCACCCCACCCCGTCACCCACCTCCCACCATCACCCACCCCCCACCCCCTCCCTACCCTGACCACCATCACCCACCTCCCACCATCTTCCCCCACCCCCTCCCCACCCCGCCCACTCTCACCCCTATCCCACCCACCATCACCCACCCCCCACCCCACCCCATCACCCACCTCCCACCATCTTCCCCCACCCCCTCCCCACCCCGCCCACTCTCACCCCTATCCCACCCACCATCACCCACCCCCCACCCCACCCCATCACCCACCTCCCACCATCTTCCCCCACCCCCTCCCCACCCCGCCCACTCTCACTCCCCTCCCACCCACCATCACCCACCCCCCACCCCACCCCGTCACCCACCTCCCACCATCACCCACCCCCCACCCTCTCCCCACCCTGACCACCATCACCCACCTCCCACCATCTTCCCCCACCCCCTCCCCACCCCGCCCACTCTCACCCCTATCCCACCCACCATCACCCACCCCCCACCCCACCCCGTCACCCACCTCCCACCATCTTCCCCCACCCCCTCCCCACCCGCCCACTATCACCCCCCCACCCCAACTACCATCACTCACCCCCACCCCCTCCCCACCCTGACCACCATCACCCACCTCCCACCTCCACCCACCGGCTCCCTCCATCCTACCCACTCCCTCCCCACCCTGCCCACCCCTACCCCACCCACATCACCCACCTCCTACCCCCCTCCCCACCGTCTCCTGAGCGTGGCCCAGGCCTGAGGCATGGCACGATCCATAGACAGTCTGCCTGGAAAAGCTAGTTCCATCCCCAGAACCACAAAAAATAAAAACAAATTGTGAGAATGTAGGCCAGTCAGTGAGGCCCTGGCAAGAGAGAGAGACAGAGACAGAGACAGACAGACAGACAGACAGACAGATAGACAGACAGACAGACAGAGAGAGTCTGGTGAGGTGAGGCAGGAGAGGGGTGGGCTTAGCTGGGAAGCCAACAGGAACCCCATCCCAGGCCTGCAAGGTAGGAGTCCGGAGGTGTCCCTGCTGGGTGTGGCTCCAGGAAGGAGCTCCGGGCCCCTGCCAGTGTGTGGCCCCCCAGTGAGGGAGCTCTGGGATGGGGGTGGGTACCAGGGAAGGAAAGACCACAGGCAACACCAGGGTTTAATTCTGTCTCAGATAGTGCTTCACCCAAGGTGGCTTCCCAGCTGGTTCCTGGCATGCTCTGGGCAACCCAGGTCCTAGGGTCCCAGGCTGGGCCAGCCTCCTGCTGGGGTCCCAGCTAGGCCTATTTGGAAGTAACCTTCTTGACCTTTGTAGGCAGGGTGCTGTCGGACTGCTGCAGCGGTGGGACCTTGACTCCCTTCTGCTTCAGCTGGTTGTAGTACTCATTTCTTTCCGAGATGATTTTCTGGACAAGAAACGTCGCCTTTAGTGGCTTCCTCCACCCCGACCTGGACTTGGAAGCCCCCCGGCCCCCAGAACCGCTCTGCAGCAGTGGTGTGCAAGAAACTGTTACCATAAAGCTCCCTTCCTATCCCTGTGGCATAGATGCTCCCTGGCCACAGCTGCTCCCTAGTCTGGGGTGGCGGGGTGGGAGGAGACCATGCACCTGGATGACCTCACCCCTGGATGACCCCACCCCTGAAGCCAACACCGAAGCCACCTCTCCATCCATCCCCTTAGGATTATGAGGCGAGTGGGATTCCTCCAGACCAAGACGCCATCCTCCCTTCCACCCTGGGCAGGGTCATTGTCCCCTCCTTCTGCCCAGCTGCTCCTTCGGGTCTTTGCCACCGACAGCAGGCTTCTTCTTGGCTGCACCTCCCCCCACCCCCTATCTTCCAACCAGCAGGAACAGGTCCGGGGTCCTGCTCTGCAGGGGACAATCACCAGGCCCACCCTCGCGGGCAGCCAGTGTGCGGGGCTCCCAGGGCAGTGCCAGCGTGTACTGGTCATCCATCCTCCAGGCCTCTGGGCCCCCTCTGGGTCCCCAGGAAGCCGCCTCCCCAGCAGGGTGAGATGGGCAAGTGGAGCAGTGAGGAGCCTGTGGGGCGGCGCCTGCTGGCGTCTCTGCTGTCAGTGAAGAGCCGGGCAGGATGTGTGCGCCACAATCCTGGCCCAGCAGAGGCCAGTGGGCGCAGAGAACCTCCTCCAGCCAGGCACCTTGCCCCTTCCCCGCAGCAACTGCTGGCCCCACTGTGCGGGAGAGAGGCTGAGGGTGGCCAAGGCTTTTTTCCTCTATGCCATGGCCATCCTTGGGGTGGGGAAGGGTTCGAGAGCACACTGTACAGGACACACAACCAGGAGCGAGGGCCGCATTCTCTGAATCCATCCCAGGCCTCCCGCCCCCTTACCACCCCCCAGCCCCCAACTGTAGGTGGGGCTGAGGACACAGAGGCAGCCAGAAGCAAGGCGCACCTGCAGGGTTTCCAGGATGGAGTTGTCAGAGATCTCTGTGGTTGTCTTGGTCCCACTGGCACTGAAGGCAGCCTGGATGACCTTATTCCGGAGTCTCTCCAGCTGCAAGCAAAGGGGGACACAGCTGCTGGGCCAGGCCAAAGCGACTAATGCGTTACCACACTAAGTGTCATTTGTTGTTCTTAGAACTGGAAAAATAGAATCTGCATACATACATATACACACACATACACATATGTGATGTAGCTCAGTGGCAGAGTGTGTGCTTAGTGTGCACCAGGCCCTGGAATCTATCTGCCACACCATAAACATAAGAAATAAAATTATAGCTGGGTGTGATGGCTCCTGCCTGGAATCTCAGCTACCCAGGAGGTGATTGGGAGGATAGAGGTTAGAGGTTCAAGGACAGCTGGAGAAAAACATCAGCAAGATCTCATCTCAAATCAATAAGCCAAGCATGGGGGCACACAACTGGGATCCCAGCTACCCAGAAGCATGGGTAGGAAGCTCGCCCTGGCAAAACCTAAGACCTTATTGGGTCGGTGGGAGGCTAAAAAGAGGGCTGGAGGTGTGGCTCAATTAGTAGAGCATTTGCCTAGCAAACACCAGACCCTGAATTCAAACTCTTAGGACACCCACGGTGGGGAAAGGTTAAAACTAAATATATTACAAAGCTGCTCACAATGCCAAGGGCACCCTTTTGTCCCCACAGGAATTTCGAGAAGCGTGCTCGGCCCTCAGGCCACTCTCCAGAAAGCCAGTGTGACAGCGAGTGTGAGCTCACTGGCACTTAAAAATCCAGTTTACTTCATACAGTACTGGCCTTGAACAAAAGAAGTGTGAGGATAGTGCGCGTGCCCTGAGCTCACACCCCAGACAAGCCAAAAGAAAAGAAAAAAGTCTTTTAGTCAGGTGCAGTGGCTCACACCTGTAATACTCAGGGGCTGAGATCTGAGGATTGTGGTTCAAAACCAGCCTGGGCAGAAAAGTCCATGTGAGACTTTTATCTCCAATTAATCACTCAAAAACTGGAACTGGAACTGTGGTTCCGAGAGGCAGAACTCTAGCCTTGAGCGAAAAAGCACAAAGGGACAGCACCCAAGCCCTGAGTTCAAGCCCCATGACTGACAAAAAAATTCTAGCCAGGCTCCAGTGGCTTACGCCGATAATCCTAGTTACTCAA